GGGGGGGGGGGGGGGGGGGGGGGGGGGGGGGGGGGGGGGGAGCGGAGGAAAGGAAGGCAGACAACGGTAGAACGAGATCAGAAACCACTCGCATAAGCCTTTTCGGGACTAATGCGAATGATTTTTATCTTGCTTTTCTTTGATTTCAGCCCTTCCAAGGGCTTGGGCGCGACGCCACCGCGTCGACCGACCGTCTGCCTCCTTCCTCTCCCCAACACTACCTCGGCCGGCAGGCCGGCGGGCTATAGCAGCCGCTGCACCCGACACAATGTACTCCATGAAGGGAAGTATTTGAAATAAGTTTTGCTCCTACAGTATTTCCTGTTGACCACTGCGATCACATAGTCCATTTCGCAGCCTTTTCTACCTACTCGTCAGGATTTCACAAGACCCTACTAACCTTTTAATCTGGCGCTCTCTCCGTGCTTGTTTACTATCTTGGTGGTCCGGTCATAAACTCTATGGACCAAGTATCGGTCTTAAGAGTCGTGGAAATATTTGCAGTAGTTACTCTTCAGTTGAATATATCGAAGTATGCATTAAGTGGAACGGATTACTAAAGGAAAATCAAGTGTGGTCCTTACCGCATGCAAAAATGCCTCTTCATTTCCGATTACAGGAGGCAGCAGAGACATGCATGCATCTGCCTTGGTTTCTTCGACGAAAAAACCTTCACGATAGCAGTTCTCACCAGCACTTCTCATCAAAATGATCGCGTTCGGCAAGAGGCATTGAAAATGCTGTCTCGAAGAGAATTCGTCGGAAGAGCAGATAAACCCACCTCAGCAATGGTTTGGAGCAGTGGGAGTACGCTGTTGGAGTTTGTCGATGTGGTGGAAAAAATTAACAACCAAGAAAACATACTAAAGTACACGTTAAACCTTGGTCCGGTTCCCACTTCTGGAACCCATCGTGGTTTTCAGTAGGAAACAGCGCTTGAACCAACGAACCATACCCGTCCAGCAGAGGTGCTGACGAGAGTCACCGGCCGCCCCTAGCCTGAAGAACGGCCATTCTGCTCCCTAAATCTTAACCCGCTTAGCTTCTCCATGCAATCTCCAATTAAAAGAGAAGCCCGTCAAGTTCGTCAGCATAGAAAGAGGATAAAAAGGTCAGAGGTGAGAATTTTCTGGGAATCAGTTGTAGGATGTTTTAACTTTTTTATTGTTTTCATTTTTTCTTTTCATGTGTCTTTCAAGCACCAGGGCATCCCCAGCAATATAGTCAGACTTCAACTCAAAGAGTTCTGCACCAAAGGAATACTATGACTGGTGTCCCTCGAGCGAGGACGATCCACTGGACCACTCTAGCTCACCGATTGATAACAGGCTTATCTTATAAAATTAGAAAACTATGCTGAATTTTTGTTAGATCATGCTATCAGTTGGATTGGTAGCATCCCATCTGGTTGGAAGGAGCAGAGATCTGTATAGATGTTTTTTCCGCATTCAGGCCAACATCCCGGTAAAGACTTCTTTGCAAAGTCCATGGGATGATAAGGTATTGGAGCGTTTTCTCGAGATGAAATAGTAATAGAGGTGTCTGGATGGTTGCTTACATTCAAACTTAATTTTCAAACAAGATAATGGAATTTTTTTTGAAAGTGATATCTGCACCAAACAAAAATTATAATTGCCTGTGAGCGTTCCCCGTTCCCTGTGCCGATGTGCAAAGCCCTTTAGATGATGTTCTTTACCCTTTCACCAAATAAGACCAAGTGACGCCTTCGTATTGTAAGCAGAATGAACCACGTTGCCCGTAAATCACAAGCATCTGTTCGAGTCTCGACGACGGGCCGGTCTTCGCCGCCATCAAGTACACGTCGTTATGGAACGGATTCTCCTGGGAGCGATGCCATTTGTAAAAAACAAATCATTTATTTATCTATTTGTTTATCGTTTTTTCATCACATGCCAGAGGTTGAAATCAATCGACAAAGTCGTTATATCGTTATATCTGTCTACGTGTGTCAGCTCAACAGCGAGCTATCCCGCTCTCGAGAGATTTCGACCACTATCACCAATTCAGCTTTTTCATAATTTTACTCCAATTTTCAAACATTTTTCGCCGATATCCGCAATTTATTCCCTACACCTCGATTCGAGCCATTGCAATGAGTTCTGATAGCCATAACGTGGCCTGCCCGAATCTGTCGTTACATCCGAGTACTGTAGGGAAGGGTAAGAACATTGTTCGGTAGCGTATGGGAAGGGCACGAACATTGACATGCAGATCGGTTGGTCGCGACAGTTCATTGAGAAATTTAAAAAGACGGTGAGTTGCAACTACGACACCGACTTTAAGCTAAAAGTGTTAGGGGTAGGTGGCTTCATGACCAAGGTTTACATGATGGCGATTTTTCATTGCGAGGACAATGGGTGTAAGCTACTTACTGATGCTTATTTGAAGGAACCATGATGTCGCCTTCGTGTCAGTCAGTTTCCAAAGATGAATGATACGCTGGCTGGTCTCATCAAGTGATGCGATAACAGGTCAGTGCACCACATCGAGCGCTATGGCCCACGACAAAAAAGGATTTCGACACATGTTTGGCTCCTGCAGAATGTCGTCCAAAACCCATCTGTCTCCATGCATTGCGCTAACTTTCCGATCAACTCCCTCTCAAGCATTTTGCAAGATCTGCGCTAGTAATCTGACTTCCTGACGTTCTACACTTCCATAATCGATAGCGGCCAGTCATCGGCTTCGCCAGCCCTTGCGGTAGTCACGATTACTCATTTGCACTGAACAAATTCATTTTAGATAAAAAGCATCTTCTAATACATTACAGCCTGTTCAATTGCAACTACTTCATTTCCGTTGAACTAAAACCTCAAGACACCCGGCCATAGAAATTATAATTAATAATAATTGAGTGTCATGGGCTCTGATGAGAAGTCGATTTAGGACATGTTGATCATTGCCTTCCTCTTCTTCTTTTTGTCAATGAATTAATTAATTAGTAATGACTTAGTTTTCTACCTCAAATATTTCAGGTATTACATCGACAAAAGTGTTTTCTGCGAAAGGTTAACAGTTGTGCAAGCAGAAGGAATAGTACGAAGCAAGAAAATGTCAGCCTCGTCTGTGGCAAGTAATATTGCGGAGGATGTACTCGAATTTGAGGTGAAACATGAAGTTGGTGAAGGTATTCCTGGGATAGCATCGGAGCATGGCGTGTACTCGGGTGGCAATCCTCATCTCTCAGTATATCAAGCTGTAAACTTTATTTGGGTTAGATTAAGGCTTGGGAATACAGAATGATACGAATGTCTTCCTAAACCATAGTACGAGGGTTGCCTTTAATATTTTGAGATTTGGCAATACTAGTGTAGCAATCTAGCAACTGACATTACTATCCTAAAGTTTGACTATTTTGAGGATATGTTGCGAAATTTGAGCGCGATTTGTGTTGTTTACACTAAGTTATAAGATTTTGTTTAGGCCAAGTTATGGGGTTGACTCTTGAACATTTTCGCGCGGTTATTTTCTACAACTTTCGACGTGGGCTAACTCAACAGCAATGCATGGATGAACTTAGTTCAACTTTTGGTTATGAAGCTCCATCCAGGGCCAGTGTTTATCGATGGTACAGTGAGTTCACCTGAGGTCGTA